GGAAAATCCTCCTGCTATTGTTCGTGCTCAAAGTTTGCTAAATTTCCTGGTTTGATCTGCCGGGCTGGGTTTTGTTGTGGGACCGCAGTGCCGGGGAAAATGCACTTTGCACGGAGGGAAGAAAAGGGCGTTTGTGGCGTTTAATCCACGCCCGCTCCTTGGATGAAACTATTTTTTGTGGTTCACAAGAGGTTCTGAGCAGCTGCTGGCAGCTTTGTAGGGCTGCAGGACTCTGCGTCTATCCAATTAGTGTGGTTTGTGTCTAGTCCTCTCCTGATGCCCCCCGAGGAAATCCTGGACTACCAGACGAGGACGGGGCGCCGTGGGCAGGGCTCACACAGGCACCATCTGGGCTTCTGCACTGAGGGTCTGTGCTGGGACAGAAGTGCAGGGTCAGAACAGCTTTGTGCTGTCTGAGCCCCCTCGAGTCGGACCCTGTGGCTCTGGGAAGGCTCCAAAGCTGTTGGTCTTTGGCAGATTTTAGGAGAAGAGGCTGGAAGGGAGCTTGGGGCGCCTTGCTGTGCCGTGTCTCCCAGGCTGGAGGTCACTCCCTGCAGCCTGGTGATTTGGGGCAGCCGGGAACACCCCAGGAGGACGCTGAGGCTCTGGGAGCCACTCCATCCCCATCCTGGCCTGTGGACGGCCATGGGCTCAACAACAGTGTATTTTCTGGCCCTTGGGAGGTGTTTTGGGGTGTAGGGCCTGCCCTTGCTCCTCCATTGGCTCACCCCAAAGCTCTTTACCAACACAAATAAAGCCGTTAATTCAGTTAAATGAACGAACCCTGTTAAAATGTTCTCTGCTCCTGTTCTTGCCTGTTCTTGTTCTCTGCTCCTACTCCTGCCATTCCTGGGAAAGCCAGGTTTGGTAGCAAGGGATGAGGTGAAGTTCTTGCTGGTCCACTTAATGTGAGGCAGGTTTTGGCACCCTGGTAAGCAGCAGAAGAGGAGGAACAACCCCAGCCTGACGGCACAAATACATCCTCTTACTGGATGGCTAAATTGGCAGCTTCAAGTGCCTTTCATGTAGGTAATTACACCTGGCCACAGTTGACCTGAGTGGGATTTAAGGAGGGGGTGTGAGGCTTGACGTGTGCTGGGAGCCTTCAGAGCTGACTGCAGTGGCACTCCAGCAGTCCTGTAAGTGTTGCAGACGAGGCAGTGGTGGGGAAGCTCTGAGCTGGTTTACAGCCTGGAGAACCCGGTGTGGGGAGCTGGGGTGGGCTGATGCCTCGAAGCATCACCAGGGCATTAGGGCAGCGGGTGTGTTCCAGGCTGCATCTCACTGTTCGTGACCTCTGTGAGCTGATCCCTCTGAGTGCCACGGTGGTTTAGGTGCTTGCCAGACACCACCAGCCTTTAAGTGCTTGTATTTCTATATCCACTCCCCAAAAACCCTTGGAGATGGGGCAAGATGGGTGCTTCAGACCCGGGGGGGAGCTCTTTCTCTGCGCTGAGGGCGTGTGTCAGACAGGGCAGCACCGAGTCACCTCCCTGCCCCGGGGTGAACTCGAGCGATGAGGAGGGAGGGCAGATGTTGACCCGGCCCAGGGCCACGTTGAGCTGTAACGTGACTTTGTGCGTGTGTTGTTGCTGTTGTGCTGGAGGTGCCGTGGCTGACGTGGAGGTGAACCTCTGCCGTATGGCCAAGCCGGGGCTGGCAGATGGGGTCAGCGCTGCTCGGGGATTTCCTCGGGTGCACAGTGCGGGCTTTTAATAGCAAACGGGGTCATCTGCATCGTGGCACGGCCTGAAACCCGGCCCTAAGGATCCCCACTGGCAGCTGAGAGGTGGCTGAGCAAGACATCCGCTCCTGTTGGAATTTTATTCCACGGTTTTGAGTAAAAGTAAAATAAGACTTAATGTTGCTGCTGGGTTTGGGGTGAAGCTCCTCCCTAGAGGCAGCCTGGAGAAGCCCTGCCTTTCTCAGGACGGTCATGTGGCCCCTTTCCTGTCCATCCAGGTGGATCCTGTGCCTCAGCCGGGTGCCAAGACTTCATCCTTCTAGGAAAGGCAGTGGGGGCTGGTGTGGGTTTTCCTCACTCCCTGCTGGCAGCCCCCGGGTGCCTGGTGCCCTGTGAGCAGTGTCTGGGGTCGCAGGTTGCTCCCATCGGGGTGACAGTGCTGTTTGCTCCATCTCAGCTGCCTTTCAGTGGGAATACACGGGATATCCGAGTGCAGAATTGATCCCTGCCGCTGGCCAGCCTTGTTCCCAGTGCCGCTGCTTTTCCTTGTGCTGCGGCAGGAGGAGAACGTGGTCTCTGGCAGTTTGCATCCTGCTTTCCCTACAAACTGCCTTCATCCTGCTGGGCCCCCTGGCCCCTGCCCTGCTCGATCCGAGGCTGTTATGGGAGCTCAGCAAACCGTGATGATCAGATCCAAGCGCTGGACCTGGAACCACCTGGCAGTGCTGGGCTGGGTGAGGAAGCTCATTTGCACGGGGTGGTTAATTCTCTGCATGTTTTAATCTCCGTGACCATCTGTGTTCTTGCCTGGGCTGGGGAGATGGGAGCTCTTGGGATTTGTCCCGGGAGGTGAACAAGGAGAACGCTGCTTACTCTGTGTGTGCCGAAAACTGCCCCGGGTCAGAGCGGGATGACCTCATTAGCTGTGGGAAGAGTCATTCCTGCATCTGTGGGCAAGGAGGCCTCGACCACAGTGTGTCAGCTCTATCCCAGAGGCACATCCCAAGGATCTGCAGGGAGGAGATGGGGGCAAAGGCACTTGCCAAAATTGGAAACCTCTGCAAATGCTTTCTACCATCCAATCCCAAGCATGGAGGGTCTGTGACCAGCTTGGCTGGCACCCTGGAGGGCTGAGGTCCCGAGGGCAGTGTTGGTCTGGGCTAAAGCACCTCCTGGTCCCCCCAAAAGCCCTGCCCAGGTTGTGGCAGTTTCTGGGGTGTGACTCTGCCCCACCAGCAGCCACTGCTGCCTCTGCCCTGGTGAACTGCTCAATTTGACCTCCAGAAACTGCTGCTGAGACTGGGGTGCTCACACACAGTACCGAAATTGGGGGACCAGTACCTCTGGGTGGGCTGCAGTAGCATCCCCTGTAGAGACGTTGCTGGCAGATGAGGTTTTCACAAGCAACACCCAAATTCTTCCTCATTTTGGGTTCTCACATTTGGAGCCTGAGGCTCTGCAGCTCCTCCAGAGCCCCAGCTGGGATCCTGCTGGCCACGGGCTCTGCATGTGCCACGGGCAGAGGTGGCACTGGCTGCGGGGGCTGTCGAGGAGCGCCTGTCCCGTGGGGAGCGCGGCCCCGCCGAGGCTCCCGCTGGCATCCAAACCCAGAGGGAACCATCCCTGCCCTGTAATTAAGCTCTTCTGCTCCTGTTCACCACACTAATGAGCAGTCTCATGGATGTGCTCCTCGCAGCTGCTCTGGATCCTCTGCATGGCTCCAAAGTTAGAGGTGACTTTCCAAGAGAACCACCTGCAAAAGGCAGGATCTCCATCCCTGTCCCATTGGGGTGAGATGTGTGGGCTGGGAACCTTTGACTGCAAAGGATTTTCCTTGACTTCACCCTGCCAAGATGTAAATTCCTCTGCCAATACGCACCCTGGCTCCTTGGTGAGGAGAACCCTTCCTGCTGTTCGTGCTGGCTGGGCTGGGTGAGGTGATGTTCTCCCAGCCTTTGGCTGAGGGACTGAGGCTGCCTCTGGAAAGGAGATCTGCCCTTTGCTTGCACCCAGGCCCTTGGCATCAGTGGATAATAACACTTGAAAAACAACTGGTGCTGCAGCTATAATCCCTGTTCAGCAGTTTGGGGGCTCAGTCTCGATGGAGGTGATGGCACCGGGACTGTTGGCGTCGTGGTGCATCCCAAAGGATGGGTGTGGGCTTGTGCCCATCTCTCCACCTGGTCTAGGTTTGATTAGATATTGGGAAGAAATTCTTCCCTGTGAGGGTGGGGAGGCCCTGGCACAGGTTGCCCAGAGAAGCTGTGGTTGCCCCTGGATCCCTGGAAGTGTCCAAGGCCAGGTTGGATGGGGCTTGGAGCAACCTGGGCTAGTGGAAGGTGTCCCTGCCCATGGGAGGGGCTGGGCAAGAGATGGGCTTTAAGGTCCTTTCCAACCCAAACCATTCCATGATTCTGTGATTCTCTGCTGTGGCAGGGGGATTCTTGAGGACTCCAGCATCATGCCACATGTCAAGCAGGTCCCTGGACCCTCGGTGGGGCTGTGGCGTGGGCTGAGGATCCCGCTGGATTTCGGGTCCCGGCGTGTGCCCACCGGAGCACAGAGCCGGCCCTGCCTCGGCTGGGAGCACCGCTGCTCTCTTGAATCTCTTCATTTAGTTAATGATCCTTTTGTTGAGAGGATTAGGGTTTAGAGGCCTCTGGCAGAGTGTTAATTAAATTAAGTCTCCGGGTGTTTCGCGGAGTTTTTGAAGCCCCACTAGAGGGCTCAGGCAGCCCTTACAACCGGGGCCGGCGGCGCTGGGCTGTGCCCATCCCTCCAGAAAGTTTGCACGAGAACTTATGTAAGGCCAGGGGACTGGACGGGCGCAGAGAAGTGCTCAGGGCCAGTGTGGAGCCCTCACGGAGCTCGCTGCTCCTCCAGCCCGGCTCCGCCCGACTCTCGGCAGTGCCCTGTGCCCCGGCTCGGGGGGCTCTACTGCCTGGAGTCTGTACTCCCCGGAGTCTGTACTCCCTGGAGTCCGTACTCACTGCAGGCTGGCAGGCACGGGCTCCTGCGTCACCACCCGCCGTGTTATCAGCGTTAGGTAATGCCGGGCTGATGTTTTTGGGGCTTTTTTTTTTTTTTTTTTTCCTTCCCCACTCGGTGTTTACTTTTCTAAGAAGTGGCTGAACGTGAACGTCCGGTTCCACCTTCAGCCCTGGGGAGAGTCAGACACTGAACTTCGCTGGGTTGTTGCCGGGCTCATGTGGATCCGAGTGTGAGCACTTGACTTTGTGGCTCCTGGTGGGTGAGGGTGGGGGGGGTTTCGTGTTTGGCTGAAACTGCTTATTAACCAGTGTCTCTTCTCCCTTCTCTTCAATATCTGCTGCCCCGTGATGGATTTTGGTGCCTCGCCTGCGTGGTTGGCCCGGCTGTCTCATCTCTGGGTAAGTACCTGCTTTGTCAGATGGAAATGCCTGAATTTTAAGTTTTAAGTTGCTTGGACTTAAATAATGAACTGACCTGTTTATTCTGTCTTAAACTCTGGAGCATGGGTTGTTATCAAACAGCAGGATTTATCGTGTGTGTTTGTGTCTGTGTGTGTGTGTGTGTGAAGATTTTGGATATTGAAAAGCACTTCCTTGGCCTGGAAATTGTTGTGGTTTATAATATGAAGAAGCCCCCAGTGGGAGTTTTTATTGCCAGCCTGGGCTGTGGAGCACTGACCTGGGGATAAAAGCTCACTAAGTGCCAGCAAGTGAGCAAATGGAAGTGAAAATGTTTTTAGGAGTGGAAGGCAATGGCCCCTGTTCCTCCCCAGACGCCTCCTGCCAGCTGTTGGTGGCAGATCAGTGCTGTGGTTGTGTAAGGGGCTCTCTGAGGGCACTGGGCCACCTTCCCCTTTGCAATCCTGCAGATATTTGGGGCTTTGCAGGGCAGGGAGAGGAGCCTGAGGCCCTTCTGGCAGGAGAGGAGGGGAAATGCATGTCGAGTTTGGAGAAGTGCACCAGGCACTGATGTTTTCAGTTTGTGTTCAAGGAGATCCTGCTTTGCATGGGGGAAAAATCGCCCTGATGGGGTGGATTCTGGTGGTTTCCCTGCAGGGGTTTGGTGTCTGCTCTGAACCTGTGAGGTGCACTTTGTGTGTTAAAGCCTCTCAGGATAAGGTGTGTGTGCTCGGGGTGGAGGGAAGGAAGGGGTATCTGCTGGGTGAAGCTGTTTCTCTGGATTCACTGGTGCCTTTGCACCGAGGTTGTGATCTCTGGAAACTTCAGAAGTTTCAAATTTACTTTCTTTCTTTTTCTAAAATTCAGAGGGTCCTGCTGTACATCACCTTCCCTCCCCAGTAACATCCTCTCCTCTCCTAGTAGTGGAAAGGACTGAGCATATTTAGAGCAGCTCTGCTCCATGCCTGAGCATTCCATGTGCTGCTGGTCACTGATGAAAGGCTTGAAGGGAAAGCAGAGGAAGCTGCTGGGAACAGATTGCTTTATTCTTAAACTCAACATCATTATACGATGCCTCACGGGGGGGCAGGAGAGATGAATCAAAACCAAGCACAAACCTGTTGTTCCTACCCAGAACTGAGTGCAGGACTATATTTGGAAGCTGTGCTGCTGCCTCCTGATCTGAATGAGCTGCTCTTTGCTGCCACATCTCTAAAAGCAGGATTGTTAATTAACTAGAGGACCTGCCTTGATCAGAGGTGCTGAGCCCCAACCCCATCAAACACCCAGCAGTCATCTGAAAGCAGAATAAAACTCCTCTGCATGGAAAGTCCTGCGAGCTCTGATGTGGAGCAAAGCACTTGTGTGAGAGTCAGGGTGGGTCAGTGAGAGGCAAACCTGTACCAGCACAGTGGCTGTAGCTGTGCCAACGTGGTCTGGAGCAGGTTTTCATCCTCGATGCCTGAGCAGACCCCCAGGACAGTGGCCCATCTGGTTATGGCTGTGTGACAAGTCTCTGCTCACGGGTGAATTTCTTCCTTGGGGAATGCTTATAACCTGGACAATCCCTGGTTTGCTCTCCCCAGAGCAGTCTCACTGTGACTTTTGTTGTCCCACACAGGGGGCAGAGAGCTGCATTTTGGTGGTCCTCCTTGTTACAGGCTTTGGGGGTTTTGACCCTGCTACGAGATGAGATTTGCTGCTTGCTGAAGGCCTGGTGTGAATCTTGGTCAGAGGGCCAGAAAGCCAAGTGGTACCTTGTTAGTGGTGACAAAGATCAAGGTGGTGTGGTACAGTTTCACTGGCTCAGGGACAGTCCTGACCTTCACCCAGCAGCAAAAACAGCAGGCTCAGATTGCTTCTCCATCTTTAAGCCTGGCTCATCTCATAGGTAAACATAAAATGCACAGGAGCTGTAGTAACAGAATCTCTCCTCCTGACCTGATAAGTGTTGGGCATCAGTCCTGAGAGTACCACACCAGCAGCTTCCCCCAAGGGAAGCTGTGAGTAGCTGCAGGGCAGCAACCGTGAAGGAAAATGCTGAAGATGCAGGAAGAGCCTCTGTTGGGGGTTTTGCTCTTGACCTTCAAGCTGAGGTTCACATATGTTGCCATTATTTAAAGCCTGTCAAGAAATCCTAGCCTGTCTGTGGTGGTGAGTGCAGTGTGTGCATTCATGGGCTGTGGCTGGGATATGTCTTTCCATACGTTGGCACTGGTGACTGGGAGACACGTGTTATGATCTTAAAGTTCACCTGTACACGAAGTTGTTTCTTTCTATCCTGTAACTCCTGTGTCACCTGGAGAATGGCATTGCTTCATGGAGCCCTTGAGCAGCTTGTTGTTGTGTTGTGAACTTGGGTCTCCCCTTAATTCTTGTTTACACGTGACTCAGGGAGGAAGAACAAATGAGATCTCCTGCTTTTGCGCCTCTCAGTGAGATTTTCTGCTTCGACCTCTCCCGATGGTCAGCAGCAGCTGAACATGAGCCCAGGTGGCCAAGGAGGCCAAGGGCACCTGGCTTGTACCAGCCATGGTGTGGCCACAGGACCAGAGCAGTGACTGTCCCCCTGTGCTGGGCACTGCTGAGGCCAAACCCTGAAACCTGGGGTCAGTTCTGGGCCCCTCATGAGAAGGAAGACATTGAGGGGCTGGAGCGTGTCCAGGGAAGGGAATGGAGCTGAGGAAGGGGCTGGAGCAGCAGGAGCAGCTGAGGGAGCTGGGGGGGCTCAGCCTGGAGGAAAGGAGGCTCAGGGGGGACCTTCTGGCTCTGCAACCCCCTGACAGGAGGGGGGAGCTGGGGGGGGGTCGGGCTCTGCTCCCAGGGAACAAGGGATGGGACAAGTGGAAACGGCCTCAAGTTGTGCCAGGGGAGGTTCAAGTTGGATACTGGGAAAATTTTTCATGGAAAGGGATGTCCAGCCCTGGCACAGCTGCCCAGGGCAGTGGTGGAGTCCCCACCCCTGGAGGGATTTAAAAGCCATGTGGATGTGGCACTTGGGGACATGGGTTCGTGGTGGCCTTGGCAGTGCTGGGGGAATGGTTGGACTCCATGATCTTGGAGGGCTTTTCCAACCTAAATGAGTCTATAGAAATGCAGCAGCAGGGTGTCCCTTTCACTTGTCCCACCCCCTCAGAAGAGACCATCAGACTCCCGATGCGGTGTCAAGTTCTAGGGCCGGCTTAGCTCAGTGTTTTCACTTTGTTGCTTTGTAAGGCAGCGAAACAGTTCTCATTGTGGGGTTCAGAATAGCGGTGCTGCCCTCGGAATTACCATCTAATTAAATGAAAGCAAAAACCCCAAAGCAAGTGAGCTTTCTATTGCATAAGAAAGGCTGTTTTAGTTGACCTAAAAACCGACATTGAAAACCAGCCCAAACAGAGATGCTTTCCCTCCCAGCTCCGTGGGCACTGCAGAGCGGTTGCTACTGTTCTTGGAGAGCCATTCATGCCGTGGCAGCTGCGAGCCCGCTTCAAAACAGTTACTCCTTTGAGACTTGCTTCCCTTTTGCTCGATGGTTGGAGAAGCCCTGCTGTGGAGACAAATAATTAGAAATAAAAGATGGCAGCTTAATGATTATTAGCTTTGTTTCTGACGCAGTCTGCGCCGAGTGCAGGGTAAGATCAGCATCTCCAAGCTGCTGCTGCATCTCCTGCTCCAAGGATTTACTGTTGTGCAGCCTCAGTGGACCTGCAGAACCCCCTAAACTAGCAGAGTTATTATTTATTTCGGTAACAGACCTTTTTTCAGAGTCTTGGAAATTAGCTGTGACAATGGCAGCAGGACTCCTGCCCTTGCCTTCCCATTGCTCCATCCATCCCCACAGCTCTCCTTGGCAACTTCTCATTCCCCTTGCCCTCCTCCAGTACTTGGATTCTGTCTATAAATATGAACCACTTCAGGATTTCTTTATAGAATAGGATAGAAAGATAAAGAAATAAATAAAGCTAAAAATGCCTTATTTTTGGCTCCAGAAAAACCAGCAGCAATGGGATGCTATCCTCTGGGATTTTGTCCTATTGATATTAATCTTTTTGAAGCTGGTATCCATGACTGCCAGTTTCAAAGGTTAATATGCTGCATTTCAAGCAAGCTGAGGTCTTTTTCTTTTTTTTTTTTTTTTTTTTTTTTTTTGTAATTTGTGATATGGAAATGTGCACCAGTTAATCACTGTGCACCTGCAGAAATGCCTCTGGGCAGACTGGCACAGACTCTGGGCTGTGCCTATAAGGTTTTGGGATCATCCCTAGGCAGGACTTGGGGTGACAAGTCTGATCCAGTTGAGTAGCTCAAGACAAACCCTGCAAGGTCCAAAGAAGGGTCAAGCAGGGGAGGCAAAGCTGAAGAAGGTGGTTCAGAGCTTCAGCTCATATTTGTGGAAGAAATAAGGGAGCTCTGCTTAAAAGTTGTATTTGGGTCAAGTTTTAATTAAATAAGTGTTAGGTCTTGCCAGGTATCCCTTGCTGATGTGCAGGTCTAGCCCTCAATGACAAACTGCTGTCTGTTGACTAATGCTGGGTCCATGGCTTGGGTGAATTTGGATTACATGGGATGTGTTAGTGCAAACCCAAGGGCTCTCTGCCAAGTATCTACTTCTGACTTACTGCTAGGTACACACTGGTCCTAAATAAACCCTGATCTAGAAAATGCCCTTCCCTAAACCAAAGAGCTCTGAGTATTTTGAAGCCAAGGGATGCACTGTGCCCATACAACAGCACAACAATATGGAGTCAAATCTCCTTCACTGAACTGGTGCCTTTCTGGGGAGAAGCTGCTGTTCAAAACTCACCCACCTGGGGTTATGTCAGTGGTCCAGAGCCTCTCCTGGCTGCAGTTTGACTCCTCGTCCATGCAAGGAGGAAATCAGCCTCGACACGGTCTGTCTGTGTGGCTCAGCTGCCTCCCTGCCGAGCGCTGGTCCCTAGGTGGCACTCACTGTCATTTTTGGGTTCATTTCAACAAAGGCTGCATAGCCGAGCTTGTCCCCCGCCGAAGGGACA